TTATATTTTAATATTATATAATCAAGCTTTGTTTTTTACATGATATATTTACGTAAAATGGTAGAAATATAAGCACCTGTTACATAATAAAATAATAATGAAATAATTAAATAATAAAATAATAAAATAAAAATGAGATTATAAGATAGATTTTTCTAGCATCGATATTATTTAATTTTTTATTTAACATTTTTACTCAGAATTTTATCAGAAATTTTTTTATATTATATTTATTGCAATTAAAAAAAATTACTAATTTTCATTAGTTAATTTATATTCATAAAATTTATATTTATAAAAATATAAAATTTTCGTATATAAAATTCTCTAATCTTAAATTTCTATAATATAGTTCATCCATGTTCGTATACTGGATCTCTAAACACTGTGCTTGTGCGCCAACTAGCGACAAGAATCAACACTACTTTTTCTGCCGAATCGATATTCTGCTCAAATATTGACTTCGCGATTGTGCGTGGTGTCGCAAGCGAGTCGTGCAGTAGACGGCGATGCTCTTTTAAAAAGCGAGTTCTTGCGAGTGATAAGTCAAGTGCTGTCGATTGAAGAATTGATAATCGGAATATCCTGGAAACAGGAAATAAAGAAGATGTTACTAGCGGCTAGTGCTGTGTTTTTTGGATTGACCCTCGGTCTCTCCCACGCGAGTAACTCGGTACTCGAGTCGACACCGAGTTCTTTCAACAATCATGGAGGTGATTTCATTTCTCTTTTCTCATGCCCTACATTCATTTAATTTCCTTAATTATTGTTTCTTTTTTCTAAAAAATTGCGCGTAGCAAATTAATTTTATATCTTTTATCGAATTACACATCACTTAATTGTATGTCGTTTATCGAATAGTAACTTGCAGGTGCAATTGTTCTTTCGAAAGCACCTGCAGTCACTGAAACTGTTATGGCGAATTCATTGACTTGTTCCGATCGGTATTACGATAGATGTATAAAATTGCATCGGATAAGAAATGATATTACAAATAAAACTTTAGTAAATATGAACGAATTATATGTTATGATTGCGCTTATGATAGGATTAGTCATGCTTTACGATAACAAAATAGATGTGAATCAGATTAGATTTACTCGCGTCGAAAACTTGGACTCTATTAAAAGTTACAAGAATGAAGTGACATTTTATGATGCTATCAGATATATATCGTTAGAAATTTCATCTTATTTTCTAATTTTTTTAAATGATATAATATTTTGAAATAAGATTAATTACTAAATATATATTTTATATAATATTTATATAAAAAATGAATTATAAAAAATTCGCAAATGAACTATTTTTTTCAATATTAAAAATCATTTTGATATATATGACTGCATTTTTTCATATTTAATTAAATATTATTTATGATTTTACTATTTATAAATATATATCATTTTATCTAAGTTTCTTAAAAATATTTTATTTTCTACATTATAATTAGCATTTGTATGAAAATAATTGTTAAAGAATTTTCCAATAATATTATGTTAATTCTATAATTACGAATTATATTTTATATATTAATTTTTATAAGATAAAAAAAAATATATAAAATTATAAATTTAATTTAAAAATTTAATTTAAATTTAATATAAGTTATATTATTAATATATTTATATTTTGTATCAAAATTATTTTAATGTATTATAAAATAATCATTGTGACACAAAGTATTGCTTCAAAATTCAACGTTACAATGATTGCAATATATATACTCTACTATATATAAACTACTTTTTTTTATTGATATTTAAAATATTTTGCATAACAATGCAAAGTATTAATGAACTATGTGTGATAATGTTCGATAAAGCATTATGGTTTACATATATCTATATGTATACCTATGCTTTTCTTTTTTGTCTTTTTCTTTAATCAATTTCGATGTGTTTTGATTTATAATCACGTCTATATTCGATAATAACTAAAAATAGTTCAACCAGTTTCATCTGTATCTCAAATTATGTGATATATCTCGCTTTTATAAAGATTGTTTTTCAATTCAAAGTAGAATAAAATCTCATTCGAAATAAAATTGAATCAAAACGTTTTTCGAAACAACGATGACAAGGATGAATCAAACGTTTGTATTGATTTATCTCGACTTGTATGTAATAACTTCAATCGATAATAACAATTTTATTATTGATCATTGTTCAGTTTGAAGAAAAATTTTAGATATAATAATTTACAATGTATATTTATATATCTATATAACTATTTAATTACGAATATATTTAATATATGATTATATAATTTTAATTATTTTCGATAATTTGAAAAAAAAATATTTTTAACAAAAATTAGTAGCATATAATTAGTAATAAAATATAAAATTGAAAAATAATTAAAACACATTTTTTAATAAATTAGGTCGTCTGTATATTTTTAAATAATTTAATTCAGATAATTTAATTTTTTTATCTACTATGAATTATATAAACATTATATTATATAAACATTATATTAATTATATAAACATTATAATTTTATTATATTTAAAGAATATATTTTCTCTAATTACAATTTTATGTTAAGAAATTCAAAATTTCTTTTCAAAGAGGACGCACGATTGAATTTAAAATATCTTGGAAACTTTAGAAGTTTCTTAACTATATCAAATTTAGCTGTTGTGAAAGCTTTTCAAATAAAGTTAATTCATAAATTAAATTCTATAGAATTCTTTCTTTGATTTTCGTATCAATCGATTATATTAGATTATTATTATATACTGAAAATCTATATTGCATTATATATTAATTGAAAATTATTTTACAAGTTTAGAAGAAAAAACAAAGTTTTAAAATAAGTATCATTTGTTTCTTTAGAATTTTATGAAAATATAAAATTTATAAATATAAAAAAATTATAAATTCAATTAAATGATTAATCAAAATAACTTTCCAAAGAAATAATATATTAATCAAATATTATTTTATCGTGAAATATCTTATAAACATCACTCAAATTGAAGGTTCTTTCATTTGAAAGATTCTAGTCTCAATGGCAAGGTGCAAAGTGTCAAACTTTCTAGAAAGCAGTAGTGAACGGAGTTTCGTTCAATTTAAGACTTTACTAAGGACTAATGTGAAATGTTACTGATTTTGATGGAACTTTACAAGTAGATGGAAATAACGAAAGATATTAGAAACTCATATTTATGAAATATTTTGCGAAAGAACTTCTCTTTAACTTCCTGTTTCTCTTAAATTAAATTTTAAATTAAAAATAATATAAATATGAATAATTTCGTATTCCTTGATTTTAGGATAATTTTCTTAACATTTTTCTTTCTATCTTTATATTCTATTTATAATTTTATTTAATTTTTATTTAATTTATTTTTTTTTTTTTATTCAGATGTTTAGTCATTCTAGTATATTTTGTATTTAAAAATTTCGATTCTTTAATTTTTTTTCGACTGTTTATTAACAAATAAATGGTTTGAAAATTTTCACACAAAATTTTGTATTGTTGCCTATACTTTGTTGAAGTTTGAAGATAAAAGTTTTTAGAATGATGCTCTAAACTTTTCCTTGGAACTACACTTAACTTTATCAATAGTTTAATGCCATCTTGATACAAGGTAGTACATCCTTTTATCAGATATCAGAAATTGCTACGATTATCATCATATATTTTATATTATTCGTGTTTCTTGAATTATTAATCATTAATCGTATATTTGTAATAAAGTTTATATTTTGGATTGAAATTAATATTATTTTTTAAAATTTTATTAAAGTATTTTATTATATTTGTAATATTATTTAAATGAATCATTTTGTTTTTATAAAGAATATTTTATTAATTAATTTGTAATTTCTACTTGTTTTTATATGTTTAAATTAACATTAATTTCTTAATATTTTATTTTTTTGTGTAAATAAAATCAATGAAATTTTTTTAATCAATTTTACAAAATACGAACAAAGTAAAACAAAAATAACTATAATATATCTATAATATCTATAATATAAAAAAATATAAATATAAAACAAAAAATAACATTTATATCAATTTGTTGATCGATTAAATTATGATTGAATTAAATTAATTTAATAAATATTTTTTTAAATAGCATTTATGAATAACTGATACAAATTAATTTATAAGAATCATCGGAAATTATATGAACATACGTGTATCCTGTAAACTTTTAAATTCAATTTTCCCAGAAATGGAGTTTCAGTATGGATAAATTTTGTTCTAGATTTTTAATTTAATTCTCTTCAACAATTATTATTGAATAATCCACGTTATGTAATTTACTTTCAGCATTGAATTAAGAAAACGACTCGCAATATAGTTGGAACAACCACATGAAATATCTCTGGCGATGAGCGCATTAACTATTGCTTTTAGTCTGAAATAGAAGGACATCAGTATCGGAATATAATAGTCAGGAATTGTTGTTTGACAATGTAAACGGTGTCGAACTTATCGGTTGTCAATGAATGGACTACATATTCTCACGATTGGATCATTCTTTAATTCAATTTCATTGAAATGCTTTCTATTCGTATAATCGATAATATTGAACTATGAAATAGATCTTCATTGTATCTTTGTCATAATGTGTTGAGGTATTAAGAACAAGTAAAAGAGAAGAAAAAAAAAAAAAGATACTATTTGAAACAGAAAATGATTAAATAATTCTTGTTGAAAATGAAATGAATAAATCAAATTGTTTTGTGATCATTTCTATCATTTTAAGAAAAATCGATCTCATTATATTATAACCAATATGATATATTTTATAATTCCATTTTTTTTCAAATTTTACACTAGTATATCTACATTTGCACTATGCAAAAATAAATTTGATATAAATATATATATATATATATTTCCATTTTTTTAATCAATATATAATTTATTATTATTATAATAAAAAAAATTAAAATAATTCAATAAATTTTTTATTTCTCAAATTTGTACATAAATTTTTACAAAAACAACAATATGATTTTTTATAGCATTTTTCTTTCTATTTATATTTAATATAAAATATAAATTAAAATATGAGAATTATCTTTTATTTTTAATAATCATAATACTCAAATTTAGAAAATTAAAAAAATTAAATATACGTATATACTTATTGCTTCGTTTAAAAACTTTTTCTTTTTAAACAAAACAATTATGCATGGAATTTTGAAGCACATATTTGACATTTTAGTAATTCACGATCTGACTTTTACCATGCAAATCGATATCATGGTTCCATCAAAGGCCCGAATCGAAAAATCGTCAGACCTCGTTTGGCTTTTCGAACGTTCTCATTCAACTATCTCTAAAAATAAAGAATTCAGGTTACATTCAACTTACATTCAACAAACCCTCAGTAAAAGTCATTTATTCCGATCGTTTCTAACTAAAATGTAAAAGTAAATATTATTTCATCATTAACTCTGTTTAATAAAGATAAAAAAAGAAAGAGCATCAAGATATAAGGAACATGGATCAAAGATCATTAAAGGAGGAAAAATAAAACGAATTATAAAATGTTACCATTAATTAATATTCAAGAAATATTTAATGATTTACTTATTAAAACATGATGATTATTATTCTCGTTGATATTAACAAGATCGGAATATTCAGATAGAATATCATGAACATGAACATTCACGATTCTCTTAATGTCTACACAATAATTTAAAATTATCTACACGATTCTTTTTTAAATCAATTTGAAATTTTACATTATTCGAATATCAAGATCTCTCTCCACTACGCCACGAAGCTTCCGGTCTATTTTTGTAAACTCTTGTTTCTCTTTTGGATAACTTTATTAACAATTCTAAGAGATTAAATTGCGAAATTAAGTCACAAATATGATATTTTTACTTTGAAGAAAAAAGAAACTATACTTGGATAATTCATTTAATTTTTACGAAAATATAGAACATTAATATGTAATTCTTTCTAGGATTAATCTAATATAAATTAATCTAGATATCACAGAAATGAAAAAATTATTTTTTAAAAAAAATCTGTAAAATAAATTTGAATTTTTGACTGAAATATTAAATTAAAATTTTTTAATTATTTAATAAATTTAAATATTTAGGATTACATATATTATTTATATAATAATTTTTATATTTTGTAATAATCATGAATAACATTCGTAAAAATATATTTTTTAGAAATAGAATTTCTAGAAGAAAAAATTTTGTTCGAAATTATAATCTTGTTATAGGTCAGTATCATAATTAAAATATTTAATTATCAATCATAATAATGATAAAATTTTGACTTTTCAAACTTATAATCCATTTAAGATTAGAATGAATACTTAATTATTAATTCCATTAATTATTTAATCAAAATTTTCTTCATTTTAAAATTTGAATTTTGCCTTTTATTTATGTAATGATATGATTTATTAATACTTTAATGCAATTGAAATATTTAAGTAGATACCAGTCGCGATTATGATTAATGATTTAAATTCACAATAACATAATAATGTTAAATCGATACAGATAATCACGATTAATAACTAAATTAATTATTTTATCTTCATTATTCAAATCGTTTTTATCGAAATATTAAATATTTTATTCTGATCTCTAGTATCAATCAGCTTTCGATAAAGATATTAATTTAATAAAATATATATTTGTAGTATATTGAAGTTTGATTAAATTTTGATGAAAAACGAATAATAAATTTAAATTAACGAATCAATATCTATTTATAATCATTCATTTTTTTATTTAAAAATCAATTGATTTCCAATGCTTTAGTTAGATATCAAAATTTCTTTTTCATACAACGAAGTTTAAAATAATTTAAAACATTGAAAATATATGTTAAAAAAGTTTAAAGCAATATAATATCATCCATTTTTCTCTTTTTATTTATTTTTTATTTTTTGTTTCAACAAAAATAATAAATACACAATGATATGATGTTTTTATAAAAAAAATATAATTTAAGGTCTATATACAATAACATATTATTTGCATTCAAATCTCTTTTATTCTATATTTTATGAAATTGAAATCATAGTATGTGTGTAAATTTTATTAAAATTGAATCAAAAAATTCAATAAATTTAAGATCACATTTCTTTTAATTCCATCTGTTTTCTTTTCAATATAATTTTTATTTTTTCTTAATTATATCATAAATGCAATTCTATTTCAAAATATCACAATATAAAATCATTACATGATATAAAATCATTACATAATAAAATGTAATAAATAATAATTAAAAAAAAATAATTTTTTTTGAAATATTCAAATTATTCGTTTATTTTATTTATGTTAAGTGCTAAACTAGATCTTGCTTGTATTCTTCAGCTCCCCGATTGGATTTGGATAGTCCAGAAAGTGGATACCACGGCTTGGTGAAGGAAAATGAAACTTTGGTCGAGGTCACACCACAAATACGAGCTATAGGTGCTAAAGTCTGCTCCTTCCGTATCGCGAACAAACACCATGGCGAAGCGCCCTTCGAGATTGTTTTGAAAGAGAAAGGAATGGCAGAACTGAGGGCGCTGCGAGTTCTGAACTGCGAGAAACGGCGTAATTACAAGTTTGATATCGAAGCTGTTGGCTGCAATGGATCATTATCGGAAAAGTACGAATTGTGCATTAAATAAATTTAAACATCTTATAAATGTAATTCATTTTAGCTTTTGTTATAACATTTGCAAATGCATGTATTCTATAATATTTTTTAAATGATTTTCAATAAAAAATTATAATACTTATATTTAGCAATTGAATCGATACTAATATTATCGATATTCAAGCGATTTGATATTGATATTGATATTAGTATATAATAGAAGGTCAATACGTATTAAAATTTTAGATATTTAGAATCATCCTTTCAATATTCGAATTCTAAAGCGATGTATCGAATCAAAAATCATTCGATATCTTATGAAAGTATCGATATTCATTTAATGCTGTAAGAAAATATCGATATCGTTTTATACTTTACGATTTCGATATTTATTCGATACCTTAACTTTTATTTCAAAACGTTATAACGAAAAGCAGATATTGACATAACTTGATAAAATAAGAGAAAACATATGAAACAGATTCAATGTGTCGATTAATAACGGTAATATGTATTTTGATCTTAATTATAATGTTTAGAAATAAAAACTAAGATATCGAATAAATATCAAAATATTCATAAAATATTAAATGATTGTTGAAACATTTCTAAAATATTGATATTGAATCGATTTTTGTACACTGGTATTAATATATTAGTATCGATTCTATCATTATTAATTAATAATAGAAATTTATTATTTTTCAGTGTTAGTCGAAGATAGTACCTGCAATTATATTCTTATTTTTATTTCATATGACACACGTGTAATTGTCTCAATACTTGCTTCTTATATCACAGTGAAGAGCATCAGATTATATTTACTGATTTAATTATTATCGCTTGGTAATAGTATCCTTAGATAGCATAATAAGTCAGAATTACGAAGTTAATTTTTACTATACTATATTATAACTATAAAAAAGGATTTAGATTTCTGCAATATTGCATTCGAATAAATTAGATCATGGAAACAAAAATACATTATTTTTTCAATTTCTTATCTCTGATAAGAAGTTATACTCATGTAACTATAAAATCTGAGATTATAAATATTGATAATCATAAATTTGATCATTTATAATTATAATATTTATGATAAGAAATATGATTTCTTGTTTTTCTTTTTTTCGTTTTTTCTAAAATTCAAGAGTCAATTTAAAGGAAATAATATTAAATTATTTTAAATTTATTATTATTTATTATACATATTTTATTTTTATTATTTTAGTGCCACGGTGCATATTACTGTAGTGGATGTGAATGAATATGCACCACAGTTTCTACAACCGGCCTATGTCAGTACCGTAGACGAAGGACGCCTATACGAAGAAGTTGTCCGTGTCGAGGCATCCGATAGAGATTGCACCCCAAAATTCGGTGATGTATGCAAGTATGAAATTTTGACAGCTGATCAACCATTCATCATCGACAATGAAGGAGCGATACGCAACACTGAGCCATTGGATTACGAGCGATCTCACAATTACATCTTAAGCGTGGTAGCGTACGATTGTGGTATGAAGCAATCCGCACCAGCTATGGTCACCGTTAAAGTCAATCGTGTTTGCGCGCCTGGCTGGAGAGGAATTCCAGAAAGAGTTGATTATGCCGCTGGCGTAGGTTCTCAACCTTTGCTTCCTTCCGCCAGGCTAGATCTTTGCGATGCTCCCTGTATATTACGTAATGTTCGAGCCACTTTAACTCTTGCCACGGACCATATAGGGAAAGGTTGTGATCGTGATACTTACGGTGTGCGCAGCCAACGTAAGTTATGCGGTGCATCTCGCGATAGCGTAGATTTATTGCCAACACCTGGGCCTACTACTTCCTGGACGGCATCTTTGTCTCGAGACGAAGGCAGAGAAGCGGACGAAATTTTTGAGTTCGATGGGGTAGATTCAGCTGCTATTGTACCTAATGATGTGCTTGAGCATACTCTAGCACAGAAATTTACGATTGGAGTTTGGGTGAAACATCGACCTCGTCCTAGACAAGACCCTCATGTTAAAGAGCATATTTTGTGCGCTGCCGATGATCACAGTAAGTTTTCTCAAAATATATTTGATCATTCTATAAATAATATTAGAAATAAAAATTAGAAATAAACATCTGTAGATAATTAATTGATATTTTCATAGAATTGTTTATCATTTTTATATTAAATTTCTTTCTCATAGCATTATTACCGTAACAAATTCTGTTTTTAATTCGATTCTTATTATCGAAAAGCATTACTTATCGAATGATTTAATATATTATTATATATTTCATATTCATAAAACAATTGATTTTTTAATTTGCAGAAATGAATAGACATCATTATGCCCTGTTTATTAGAAACTGCAGACTGATTTTACTACTTAGACGCGATTTCTCAGAGGGTGATCCTAATATCTTCCGGCCTGCCGAATGGCGTTGGAAACTAAGTCAAGTATGCGATGATAAGTGGCATCATTATGCCGTTCAAGTCGAATTTCCCCATGTGACCTTATTCGTTGATGGAGAAGAGTGGCACACGGATGAGAAGAATCCTGAAGTTATCGATGATTGGCCACTGCACCCTGCGAAAGGTGTTAACACGACACTCGTTGTTGGCGCATGCTGGCAAGGTTCCGACAATAAGACGAAACATCATTTCCGTGGCTATCTGGCTGGATTATCAGTACTAGTTGGACGGACCGAGAAACCAGACGTGTTGTCCTGTTTGCGCCGTTGCCAGGAAGGTATTCACGTGCCATCAATGGATTTGCTCCAACCAGGGACCCAATTGCTCACCAATTCCGACCTAACAGAGGTACGAATCGATGGAGATAACCGTACTAATGTTGAAACGCTTCTCCGTCGCATAGGTTATTCCAATTCGAGACGATTCCCTACTCCAGGCCGTCGTAACTTCCGTTTAGAAACTACGATCGTCTGCGAAGGTAGTGAAAATAATCCCCTCCCGGTACCAACCGTTCAATCATACGTCACAGTTCTACCACCGCCCCGTCCCGGTATTACTGTCAACGGTACTGGCTACGTGGCCAGAGAATACGCAGATTTTCGCCTAGGTGTACGTGTATTTCCAGACACTCGTGTCACTGCCGGCTCTGCTGCCAGATTAGATGCATGCGCGGTCAGTGTTTATCCAAGTCTCAATCCTGATCATGAAAGTTTAGGTTTACCAGGCGATGCTCTGCGTAGATTCCGTTCTATTACCGCGCGTGTAGATCGGGATGGTGTTGTTCTCTCAGGCGCTGACACACCTTATAATTATCAGCAATTAATACGTCTTATAATGTATACAAATCGCAAGCCAGCTTATTATCTCGATCGTGTATTTAAATTGACTTGTTCCGAGCTTAGCGGCCGTTTTGCAAGCAACGAATACGTACAAACACTTGCCGTTATTCATCCAAAAGAGAAAACTACTGTTCTTCCTCATTCTACTCCTGACGAACCACCGATTGCAAGAATTTTGGAACCAGCACCTGGACATGCGCAATTGTCTCCTCATCATGCAGATTTACCCGAAGAGTACGCAACAGCTGCGCTTCGTGAAGGAAATAGAAGCATCGGAGGTGCGAGTAGCAGTCATGCAGTTACGATTGTTGCAGTTGCCTGCATCTGCTTCTTGGTTTTAATGGCGGTGGTAGGAGCCGCAAGAGTTAGAGGAGCTGCGAAAAGACGACCATCCGCTGGAGATGAATTAGCTGCTGAAACTGAAATGGCTTGGGACGATTCTGCACTTGCTATCACCGTGAATCCAATGGAAAGGCTCACAGAACATGATCCTCATCATCAAAGTCAGAGAGATGAGGATGTGGATGATTCAGGAAGTTCAGACTCGGAAGATGGATCGTACAGAGATGATGATTTAGACAGTTCTGATTGCGAAAATGATTGCGAGATAAACAATGGACGACATCGCCGTCACACTTCACCTCACGATTTGGAATGGGATCATCGTGATGTCTAAATTATTATCCCTCTGCATTCATCCCCTTTCTTCATATGGTAATTAAGCGGAGTACTAACTTATATTGTTTTTCATTTAATCCCTTTCAAATAATAATTATTGTTTCTTTTTTAATGACGCTTCGTAATGCATTGCAGAATGTACGTTGTTCTAAAGCGAGTTCTGATTATATGAATTATACTTCAACTATTTTCATAATATTCATGAATTGAAACTTTTTGGAACTTCGATGCGTCTTTTGAAGAACATATTAACATTTTCGGTAATTAATCCGATATTCCTATGAATAAATACGAAAGCGTCGTATTATATCCGTCCCCATAGATGAATGACATATTGGTAATTGTAAAATGTTAATAATTAGTAGTTAGTACTCTCCTTAAAAGCCAACAAAATTTGTAAGAGAGTGCGGGACGCTTTATTGAATAGTTAAAACACTTTTTATCTACAACATGCCATAATGTTGATAGATGAAAAATACACGTGGAAGATACTTAAGTTTACTGGGAAGTTCTCGGTAAATATTGGAAGCAATTAATTTATATTTGACTCATTATTATTAATTATTAATTATTATTATTATAATTATTATTATCATTATTATTATAATTATTATTATTATTATTATTATTATTATTATTATTATTATTA